GTGACAATGGGCAGACTTCATTTTATGTGCTTTGATCATGTTGTCAGAAGGGACTAGTCCCTAGAGAAGGATATCGTGCTTGGTAGAGGGTCAGCGAAAAAGGGGAAGACCCTCGAGATGGATTGACATAGTGGCTGCAACAACGGGCTCAACCATAGCAAAGATTGTGAGGGTGGCGCAGAACCAGGCATCCCACAAACAGGTGTTTTGTTTTGTTGCTCATGAGGTCACTATGAGTTGGAACTGATTTGACAGCACCTAGTAACAATCTGGGAGCTCTGGTCGTGCAGTGCCTAAGGCACTTGACTGCTAACCAGAAGGCTGGTGGTTCAAACCCACCAGACACTCCTTGGAAGAAAAGTTGGGCAATCTACTTTCGTAGTGATACGGTCTCAGAAGCCCAAGGAGGGGTTGCTATGAGTCGGATCCAACTTGATGGCAGTGGGTTTGGTTTGGTTTAGCAAACAATCTAGCTCATCACCAATGATTCATAACAATGAATAATATATATCTATTTCCTAGTTTACCTTAAACTATTCAGAGTCTGGGTTGCTTAAAGTATGCTAATTTTCTTGTTTAGCTTCTTTCAAGGAAAATGTTTATAAATCTTGAACGTACAGCCTTTACCTAGAAAGGTCTTTTTAAACAGGATGTGTGCATGCAAGATAGTAAGGGAAGTTAAGTCATCTGAATTAACTCAAGCAGTTAACCAAAACCAAACCAGACTCACTGTCGTCGAGTCCATTCAACTCATAGCAACCTGCCTTGGCCTTCCAAGGCAATCTACTTCCGTAGAGATATGCCTCGGAAACCCCAGAAGGGGTCAACTCGACAACTCAAGCAGTTAGTAGGATGATACTGTCTCTAAATCATTCTTGTATCTATTAGGACTAACAGTTTCTCAACTTACCTAAGAGATGTTTAGCTACTTTTGTGCTAACTAGGGAGGAGCGCTTGTGGTGTAGTGGTTGAAGTATTCAGCTGCTAACCAAAATGTTGGCGTTGGCAGTTCAAACCTATCAGCTCTGCAGGATAAAGATGTGACTGTCTGCTTCTGTAAAGATTTACAACCTTGGCCACCTCCTACTTGGGCGAGTAGCGACTGGGATCTTAAAAGCTAGCAAGCTGCCATCTAGATGCAACAATGGGTGTCTCCTCGTCAAGAAGAAAGAAGAAAACCAAATGAATGGAAACAATCAGTCCTAGCGACTAGTACACCATCTGGTCTGCA